CTCTTTTACTCCGACGAAGGACTAGCGTCCGAAACGTCAGTAAGTTTTTTCATCTTTTCACGGTGTATAATTTACCTTTTCATTATTACTGTTTCATTAGAAACACCGACGCAGCTCACACTAGTTTTTAGCTAGTTATATCTTTTCATTTTACGATGTCAGTTTGCACCGATTTAAAACTAGTGTCCCTCAATACTAATATCCTAAAATTGAAATAAAGATATGTAGTGAACCCCTATAAGCCTTTTCATAGTTTAAGAATCGATTCGACTGCGCATGCGATTTTATCCCGAATTTCTCACCTTCTGTTGTTTAATTAAGAACAAAAGAAGGTTTAGACAAAAGAAGGTGAGAAATTCGGGATAAAATTGCATGCGCAGTGGAATCGATTTTTAAACTATGAAAAGGCTTATTAAGCGACCTCTGATTTTCCTTCAAGTTACAATAAATCATTTAAATATAATTTAAATACATTTTAAATTTAAGTTTAAGTTCTCTTCTTTTCTGTAGCCAATTCATTGGAAACTTTTTATTGAAGAATATCAAGAAAATAAAGTGTAAAATAATAGAGGAAAAAAAGGTGAGTCCTAAAGGCCTGCTGAAAACAGATTCTTTCACGTCCAACTAATAAGAGTGCAAGGACTTTAACCTTTTTTATCGCAATCACTAAGCTAAAAGGGCTTAAAGTATCGTACGATGAAAGTATTACAATTACACTCTTACTACTATAAGTTATTTATTATTAACTTATTATATTGTAACAAGCATCTTAACCAAACCTTTAAATAAATCTACTACTCTTCCCAGTAGACCGAGGTAGTTGTGATTTTTGTGATCAAATTTCAGTCAAGTTTTAATCACGTGGTGTAAAAAAATTGTCCTTGTGGTACAACATTGGCATCATGTGGTCGATTTGAAATGTACTTGCGGATAACATAACAGACGCTACGAAGGCGAATAAAAATTCACAACTACCTCGGTCTACTGGGAAGAGTAGTAATATCTTCAAGTTTTCACACGGATTGTGACAAAAATGTCGAGAAGAACATGCTTGTATTATTACAACACTCGTTCTTGCTTAGATAGATGCATTACCATATTTTTCTTTTGTGACGCAAGTGGCAAAGAATTGCCTAATGTGTCATACTATACGTGGTGCAATACGTATGTTTAAACTGATGAAACACGTTTTTCTTATTGTGCAACCCTTTGGAAGATTTTTGCAAAGTCACTGAGTCACTGCATATGTCATTCACCGGCATGCTTACACATAAAGTCGGTCATGTCTAAAAGTACGCACATGGATTTTCAAACTGGGATGCAATAGCTATTTAAGGGGTTTCCCCAGTCTTCCAGTTTCCCAGTTAAAAGTATGAGTTTTTCGCTGTTCTTGATATCAGTAATCTTCTGTGCAGTAAAATTACCAAAGCAAGTAAAATAACATGTTCAGTTTCCAAGCTAAAAATAATTAAATGTTGAGGAAGGTTTCCAAAACTCATGAAATTCCCTGTTGTCTGAAGATAGATTTTATACTCTCCAATATTTAACTGCTCAGTTTGGTTTTGAAGAAATAAGTCACACTCCATTATGATTAGGTTCCGAATATATTTATTTTATTTTACTTAATTTGAGCTAGCTAGAAATTTCGCAAATTTAGCAATTTAGCATTATTCCCGTTTTCAGTTCGTTCCTTTCAGCCAGAACTCGAACATCTTTAAGGACCCTTTGAGCGATTCTGTAAGCGATGTAATGCTGAATGGGGAAATCAAGAGTCGAGAAAACCGGCTCTCAGAATCTAACAGACTTCTTAAGAAATTACATTCAGATTTACTTGTGTAATCATAAAACTTTTTATCCAAGTATTTAATTGAACTAGTTAATACTATAGTTATATTATAAGTCGTCCGCGATGCTGTACAAGACAATATCCCAGAACGAATTGCTGTCTTTTTTCTTTCTCCATTTTTATTCCTTTTTAGCAATAAGTTGTGTCGCTTAAAGGGCCACTTGGACGAAAATCGTTCCAAAATTAAAACTCTTTCATTCGAGCTGGAACTTTGCTGAAATAATCTTGAACACATT